TTTTTTTTTTTTTTTGAAAGCCAAGCTGAGACACTGCTCCTCTTTTATTTTGCTGAGTACACTGGAAGCAGGAAGGATCAAAGTTCCTGAAAGCATACTTTATGTTCATTTGGATTTTTTTCTGGCTTGGGGCTCTAGTGTAGAGCTGAGCATCCAACTACCCTTCCTCCAGCCGCAGAAGTCTGCATCGTTGCACATGTGGCACTTCCAAGCTTCCTCCACATCCACCCCTTCAGGCTCTCTATGACCCATTCAGTAGGCTATATAGTGCTGCACCTTATCTCTCACCTTCTTCTCTTCAAAAGCAACAATCTCTGTACCCAGCAAAGTGGCAGTCTCTTGGGAGATATATTCAATTTTCAGGATATCAATGACTGGAATATCAGACAGTGTTAGAGACAAAAAGACCAACTCCATGAGATCACCTAAGGACTTCACAGAGATGCCTACTTGCTGGGCATGCCTCAGCACTGAGGGTCCCAGTGACTTTTCTGGACACAATTTTGCATGGTGGATTAGGCTAGCAGGGGTCACTTCCCCTTGTACCATGGCATCAAAGATGTATTTGTATAGGCTAACCTGAAAACAATCTTTCTTCTTCTGAGCTTCCAGAGGGAGCATAGGATGCCTGTGTGTCTTGAGTTCTGCCAGTTCCAGTTCCCTCTTGGCTGTATAGTGCAGTTCATCAATCACCCCAACAAGCAGCACACCCTCTACTTCCCCAAACATGGGAAACTCTCTGATGCACCCCTCTGACTGCAGGGTAGGAATCATTGATAGTATGTTTAGAAATTTTATTGCCCAAGCATCTTCTTTAGTGGTGATGGGGACAATCACAAGGTCATGAACTTCTAGTTCTCTAGCTAGGTGGATGCTAGCACCAGTGTCTAAAACATCTGCTTTCTCAGGTGCCAAGAAGCCAGGAAGCTCCTTCCCATAGACCATTTGCTGTTCACACCAGTTCTGAGTAGATAGGTCAGTGACATACAAGTATTTCAACTGGAATCGCTCCATGGGTGATGAGACAGCCAATCCTCTTTCACACTTCTGTAAGCTTATAGGCTTACCATCCTTCCCTGAGGGTTCAGAAGAAGGGCCAGGCTTGCTCAGCAAAGCATCTGACCCTTGGGCATCTTCCAGGTCCAGAAACTCTGAGTCACTAAGGTCTGAGAACCCTGAGGCCTCTGCTGAAACCTTCTCCTCTTCCCCAGTCTCTGCCATTGCACAGCTCTGGAATGGGCAAGGAAGGTCCTGCGACTTAGTTGATCTTCCTCTTTAAGCGGAAGGGCAGAATGCTGAGATGGCAGCTTTTGGGAAGGAAAAAGAAGCTCTAAAAGATGAGATCCTCAGAAAGAAGGTTGGGCAATCTACTTCCGTAGTGATACTACATGTAGTGCTTTCCTCCTCTCATTTCACACTGCACAAACTGCTGTCCACGCTAGATCTTGGGTAACACTCTTCTGTCTCCTGGGGCAAATTCTCCATGACTTCGTTGTTTTCCCTATACTTGGGACACAGTGAAGTGATCCAAGGGCTGCTTCCTCGGATGCCTAGACAAACCCTGGTCACCACCGGTTCTGCTGCCGCCTCGGAATTGCTCCCGGACTCTTCTCCACATCCAGCATGAGGAAGCTGAGAAGCAAGCGTTCCCAGAGCAGCTTTGATCGTGATTTCCCAAGCAGTCTCCTGGATACAAGTCCCATCATATCCAGGATCTGCTCTAGCACCCTGATCTTGAGACTTTTAAGGGACTTGAATCAATGGCCTGCAGTGTGGTTTGGTAATATCGGGACTGTGCCATTTTATTTGTTGACCTTGGGCTTGTTAGCCTCAGCAGCTGGTAACTGCCTGAGTGAAGAGATTCCTCTAGCTTCAGTGGTCCAGGAACAAGAGGCAGAGCTGAAGCCCAAGGTCGAGGGGCTTTCACACAGCCCCTAGAGCCTGGCACATTGAACTTCTAATCTCCAAAACTGTAAGAACAAACTCCTGTTTGTTAAAGCCATCCCATTTATGGTATATTTTCTGTTAGAGCAGCACAGACGTAACCAAAACATCTCTCATTCCATGTCCTCTTCTGAATCCAGCTTGAATTTTTGGAAGTTCTCTGTCAATATACTACTGCAACCACTTTTTTACTTCAGCAAAATTTTACTTGCATGTGATATTAATGATATGGTTGAGAATTTTCATATTCTGTTGGATCACCTTTCCTTGGAATGGACACAAATATCGATCTCTTCCAGTCAGTTGGCCAGGTAGCTGTCTTCCAAATTTCTTGGCATAAATGAGTAAGTGCCTCCAGTGCTGCATCCGTTTGTTGAAACATCTCAATGGGTATTCCATCAATTCCTGGAGCCTTGTCTTCCTTCAGTGCAGTTGGACTTCATCCTTCAATATCATTGGTTCTTGATCATATGCTAGCTCCTGAAATAGTTGAACATCAAGCAATTCTTTTTGGTACAGTGACACTGTGTATTCGTTCCATCTTCTTTTGATGCTTCCTGCATCATTCAATATTTTGCCCATAGAATCTTTCAGTATTGCAACTCGAGTCTTGAACTTTTTCTTCAGTTTTTTCAGCTTGAGAAATGCCTAGCATGTTCTTCCCTTTTTTTTTTTTTTTTTTTTTAACTCCAGGTCTTTGCACATTTCATTATAATACTTTACGTTGTCTTCTTGAGCTGCCCTTTGAAATCTTCAGTTCAGCTCTTTTATATCATCATTCCTTCCATTCGCTTTAGCTACTCTCTGTTCAACAGTGAGTTCCAGAGTCTCTTCTGACATTCATTTTGGTCTTTTCTTCCTTTTCTGTCTTTTTAATGACCATTTGCTTTCTTCATGTGTAATCTTGATATCACCCCTCAACTTGTCTGGTTTTTGGTCATTGGTTTTCAATGCATAAAATCTGTTCTTCAGATGGTCCCTAAATTCAGGTGGGATATAATCAAGGTCGTTTTGGTTCTCATGGATTTGTTTTAACTTTCTTCAGCTCCAGCTTGAACTTGCATATGAGCAGTTGATGATCTCTTCCACAGTCAACTCCTGGCCTTGTTTTGGCTGAAGATATTGAGCTTCTCCATTGCCTCTTTCCACAGATGTAGTAAATCTTATTCCTGTATTCCATCTGGTGAAGACCAAGTGTATAGTGGCCATTTATGTTGTTGAAAAAAAAAAATATTTACAATGAATAACTTTTGCAAAATTCTATCATGTTGTCTGGAGTCTTTCCATCACCAAAGCCATATTTTCCTACTACCAGTGATTCTTAAAGTGAGCCTTAGGGCTGAGTAAAGGAGGAAGAAGGAAAAGCCAATATAAAAGTTGAATACATAGGAAAGATATGGGGTAACAAATGGCGGGAAAACTCAGAGGAGGAACACCTCAAGCTCTGAGACTGAAGAAGTGGGGAGGATGCTCTCACATGATACTCTCACTTGTTTTAAAAAATAACATAGGAGACAAAAAAACAAAAACAAAAGAACCAAACCCACTGCCATCAAGTAGATTCTGACTCATAGTGACCCCCCATTGGATTTCCAAGGTGGTAAATCTTAATCATCCTTCCATGGAGTTGCTGGTGGATTTGAACTACCCACATTCTGGTTAACATTCAAATGCCTTAGGCACTGCACCACCAGAGCTCCTTATATTGGAAACAAAGTTTCTAGATAATTTGATCAGTATGTGCTAATACTCTGCCTGAATATCCCTATTACAGAATTGCTTTTGTCAACAAGCATCTGAACCTCCTATCTGAGTTCTACGCAAGCATTGTACTTGAGCTATGGGAAGTGGCACCTCCACTCAACATCATTTTGCTTTCCAGAATGCAGAAAAAGGTATGCATTTTCCATCTAATTCAATATTTTGTTGGGATAGAAGCTGCATTGGGATCCTCTAGAATAATGGGATAGAGGAAGCATTAATAAATAGCCTGTGATCATCCTACCAAAATGGGGTATGTGGGGCAAGAAAAGGTGAGTGGAGTGGGAAGTTTTATATATTTTGGAGAATTGTTCTCAAAATCAAAATGAATAAACATAAATGAATAGATAAATAAGATTTGAAAAAAATTCCAAGTGGCGTTGACCCTTATGGAAGATGAATAGTTAGAATAAACTACAGACATTCCCCCAAAGTGAGCATTGACTGGCCAATCTCTGAGGGAAAGATCCTGAATGTAAAGCCCAATGGTCAGCACCACAGAGGGCAAGGTAAAGAGCATGGGTGTTTGAGTAGAAGAGTTGGACTCTAGCTCTTTTCTTCCCTGACTATGTGAGTGCCATCAAAAACACTGCTCTTCAAGGACACTGTGTCTCCATCCATAAAATGCAGAAAATAACTAAAGACAATAATTTTCCTTTACTAAATACCTGGAACTGGACTAAACCTTTTACGTGCATTATTTTACTTACTTTCTCAACAGCTTGTAAGGTGACTTTTACTACTTTACAAATGCAGATTTTACTCCCCCTGATTCCTTTTTCAAGGAGTTCTGGTAGTGCAGTGATTAAAGCATTGAGCTGCTAACCCAAAGGTCAGCAGTTCAAACCTGCCAGTTACTTCACAGGAGAAAGATGAGGCAATCTGCTTCCATAAAGATTTATAGCCTTTGAAACCCTATGGGGCAGTTCTACTCTGCCTTCTGGGGTCACTATGAGTCAGAATCAACTCAGTGGCAGTGGGTTGTTTTGTTTTATCCCTTTTTCTTATTGTGAGTCTTACATGTAATCATGTAGAAGGCAGTGCCTCTATTTCTCCTGGCTTTTCCTTCTAGTCCTTTATTTATTTTCTGGAAGTATAAACAAGTCTTATATGGAGGCCTACAAGTCTCAACATGATGAAGACTTTAAATTTTCCAAAATTAGTACTTTGGGAAAAGATTAATTGCCTTTGATTAATATTTAGAAAAAAAAAAAAAAAACTGACCTGGCAACATGAATGAGGGGACAGTGCAGAAGGAATAGCATTTAATGTCTTCAGACTGTGGAAAACCACTCCATAGAGAAGCTGGTTCTAACACAAAGAGCATAGTAAGTGAGCAAGGAGCAGCATGAAACTCTGGGACAAGGAGCTTACGTTATGATGGGGAAATGCTGATAGCCCATGACTCAGGCTTATTGTGAGGATTAAATGAATTCATATGTCCAAGAGCTTAGAAAGGGCCCTAACACTAAGTGTTCAATAAATACCAACTGTTTTTATTTACTTTCATTGCATAGCTTTCTAAACCGTTTCCACCTGTTAGCCCATCCCAAGGCCCCTTTTATCTTTTTCACTTATTATGAAAATTTATGAAAGCATAAACTAGAAGGAATAATAAAATAAACCCCATATTCACATCACCTAGATTTAACATTGACATTTTGCTATATATGCTTTATCAAATTTTAAAGTATTTAAAGATTTCATGATATTCTTACTATAAAGCAGTAAAGAATATAACAGTGTATAACATTACACCCTGTATTTCAATATACATGTCCAAAAAAAGGACATCTACCTATATAAACATAATACCATTATCATACATAACAAAATTAATAATAATCCCTCAATATCAGCCAATATCTAACACACATTGCCAAATTCTGTGGGAAAAGATGTGGCAGTTTCCTTCCATAAAGATTATAGCCTTGCTGCTTGTCACAGCCAGCTACCAAGAGTGACTGAGTAGTTGAAACTGTGGGCT